ACGATTAATCTGATAAAATTCTCACGGTATCCTATATTAAATAGACAAATTTATAAATGATTTACTACGTTTGAGCTACTCAATTCATTGCAATCCGAATAACCCACATTCGCATAACACCCACATTCGCATAACACCCATTTGGCCAGTCAATTACCAATTTATACTATCAATACGTGATGAGAAACCGGCATTAAACCAACGCAACACGAATGAATGCTGTTATACACACACTCGTTAGCTAATAATAATACAAAACCAACTCGAATCCATATCAAACAAATTAAGTTCCTATCAAAACACTAAAGTTTAATGCGTTCAGATTTGATTATGCGATGCTTGATACTTGTGTGAAACTATAAACAACGAATGTATAGTAAATTTTATTCTTAAAAGTCTAATTTTCAGGTGCTGAAGAAATGGACGTAGCCACGCACTTTTTATCACCGAGGTGATATCCTGAGTGACGTGCGGGGGGAACTGTCCGAGAAGATCGAGCACCGTGTTTTGTCGCGAGTCCCGAATACCCAAATCCACCCCTCGGTCCAGAAGTGCACGCACTACTTCCATCTTCCCGCAGAGTGCAGCCTCGTGCATTGCAGTTCCCGCAGGCGTCCTCAGGTTCACGTCGACACCTGCTGCCAACAACACTTCCACCACCGCTCTGAAACAGGAGAACAAAAAGCGTTCTTTATATTTAATTTCTGTTATATTAATTGTGTAGTTACAATTATAAATTCGTGTAATTTGCGTTTTTTAATAATCATTACGCGTTCTGACCGGGATGGAACATCAAGTTTTTCATTGGAAAATTTAGCATATGCATGTATGACAATTTTTCTGTGAAGTAAAATTCGATATTGAATGTCATTCGTTATCTAATGAATTTAGATAAACAATATTATTCAAAATATTGTCAACGCTTCGTGTAATCAACAAAGTAAATCGGAGAGGTTGCTACCCTCCAATATGCTTGAACCGTTCGAATTTGGCGAAGCGTAACTGCGCGGTGGGAGCCTATCGAAGAACGCAACTCGCGTGCAACCGTAGGTCCGCGGATCACCGACGTTGGCTGAAAGTAGCCCGCTTGCACGCATTTCCCATTTCGAATACTACCACCACCGTCCTATCGTATACCGCGTTGAAACCCAGATTTCGTTTTGTATCTGTCGGCGCGCGATGCACCGACTGCAGTGACCGCAGCCATCCGTCGCATATAGGATTCGTGGCTGGGAATCGGATTCACGTGCACCTATGTTGTTATTACCGTGCCATAGGGGTATTTGTATACTGGCTTACCAAGAGCACCGATATTGAATCCGATAATAGACATTACTACAGCCCCGTTCTCGTTCCCATTCCCAACCCTTTCGCCCCTCTGCTCCGTGTACTCTACACCGTTTCTCTGTTCCACCCATAGCCGCCCATGCCGTGCCGGGTCCGCCAAATATCGCGGCTCAGGCGCGTGAAACGCGTGCGTGAGAACGCAATCATCGGCAGTGTGCGTACACGGCCGAATCCCTTGCTACGTTTGTATGTACACGTTTCGGCCCCACGTCGAAACGAATGTACACGATAGAGATCCGGCGCGCACTGCGATAGTTTCGCGCCTGTCCAAACAGTCAAAATGCTCGTACACACGAGCACTGGCGATGCTGTTTGCCCGCGGAGATTGTCCATCCCCGGCCAGATTTTCCAACCTAATCAGCGACGAGATTCGATCTGGTGAAATTTTATTAGAACTGATACCATTTAGGTTTCTCAATTACGCAGATAGTTCTGCCTGGATCTCTCACGTACTACATATAACGTAATGTAATACATTATAATTTAATATGTTCACAGACATAAAACGTACATGTGTATAAATTGCGAATAGCAAACGTGAGGCACTAAAACGTGAAGTGTTAAAAGAATTTATGACACGAAGTTTACACTTCAAGGGATATGGACAAATAAAAATAGATTATCGAAGGAGTAAAAATTCCATCTGAAATTTCAGTGAAAATAACTGTCGACCGTCAAAGAAGTAACATTATACTTTTTGCAATAGAGGCATCCCCGGCTGATGCAATACGTGCTTCCTGGTCACGTTCCTCAACATTTGGTCCCAGGCCGCAGTGGAACACGGTAAACACGCGACAGTATAAGTGTACACACTAGGCTCGCGATTCACGCGTGCTGCGAAAATGTTCACAGCGTGCCTTCGCGCGACGCGACCGTTCCCGCGTTTAAAATGCAGCGACCATCTGTCAACAAGACAGTCCTCAAGAGTTTCGCTATTTAACATTGCCAATGATTAAACCTGCCATTATTTACCTTGTCATTTTCAACAAGTTATATTTTGAGTTTCAATGTATTTGATCCAAAAATTACGTATTCATGAGTATGATTATTAGGATTTGAAAGACAGATCATTTATTACGATCTAGAATTGATTGAAAATCGTAAATTGCGGGTATTATAAATCTGGTTGTCTCCCTCTCTAATGTTGTATCCCAGCCTCTATAATAATATTACAATCATAATAATGAAATTCTAGGACATAAATAGCTAAATTGAGCGATTTCCATCGGTTGTAGGGGAAAGGAAGTGGGACGCGCGGCAGAAAATGCATTCACGGGTCTCTGTATCGTGACGCGATCGCATTATAAGCGAGCAGCGTCAGTTAAAGCGATTATCGGCTGCGAGGCTGCATAGAAAAACCGACGTTATACCCGATTACAATGTGACTGCCGTTTCGCGGCGATTCACGATCGACGAAACGAACGATTTTCGATCGACCGCCCCGTTCTCTGCTGTCCAACAACGTCGATTATTTTAAAGGCTTACCAGCCGGATTACGGACGTGACGCCGCGATGCTAAATGAGAATGAATTGGCCGAGCAAAGCGTTAAATACGATTCCCTCCCTCAATGTTAGCCGCCCGGATCGTGGAAACGAGTAGGATTGCGGTGATTCTTTAGTTATTTGAAAGGGGTGAAAATACCAATTTTTGATCAATTAGAAGAAATTGCGCTAAGAACAGCAAATTAGACTGAACATTTTATGCAACTATATTAGAAGAAAATGGAACTTGTTTTTTAATGACGTGATTAAAAACACGTCGTGCATGGATTTATTGTATAATGGAGATCGTCAAATGAATTTATCTTTATAGTTTGACAAGTTAAAATATTCTTTTTTCCAGATTTTATAATGAAATCAATAATTAAAAAATAATTTTAAATGATATTTATTTAATGAGATTCATTCTGTGCAGTTTATATCTGGATATACTGAAAAAAAAGAAACGTCGAAACACGTGGAAATAACAGTTTCGTTGAATTGTACCGAGTGCGTGCAGAAAATCATTCTCGTTATTTAATTGTAAAGCGTCGGTGTAACCGATTATCTGTTTAATCTTGCATCATCCGATTGAACGGTCCGATTAATCAAATAACGGAGGCTCTCGCTTTGCAATATCATTTATTTAACCGAACATTTTTGCTGCGCGATGCAACAATCACCAATTATTTGTGTAAATACTAGCAAATCGATCGAACGCTGCTTTCCATTGGTGTTCAACCATCATACGTCCGTATGTTCAACTGAATTGAGTCATATTTGTTTATGATCCTGCATTATCCTATGCCATTGCAAAATAACATAACCCATTTGTATGTATATTGTATCTTGCACCTGAATCATGTTCCCCTTGTATGTATCTCAATGAAACAAATCGTTCATTGCCATGCAATTCACATTTCCGGAAATCCATGCTTTACGTGATGGAAGTTGATGCACGCATTGGAATAATTAATAGTTCTAATTAACTGCACACAATTTCAAACCTTAAATAGTAAATCTCCAACCGTGTTAAAATATAATGCGGTCAACAAAAATTGAACGAATTTTCATCAGTACTGATGGAATTATAAAAATTCCCTAGCCTTCATCGCGTTGTCATTAACTTCAATAAAATTTAAATTTTTAGATATTATAAACATTAATTTTGTAAAATAAAAATAATTTTAAAAAAAATTTCCCCCCCCCCCCTGGCAATATTCCACGCCTCCCAGGCCGGAAACCGAGGCGTTAATGAATAAATAAAGTAGTTAAAATGAAGAATAGAAAAATATAATTTAATGAGAAGAGAAACTAGCGATTGCATTTTAAAAAGTATTTTCCAACGAGCAGAACGGGATCGTAGTAGTGAAGTTTATCGAAGCGTCGGGACATCTTGGTACATAAAGGGGCATTAAACATCCCCGCGATTGCTCGCTCTCGGCGCTTGAACCGCGATTCAACCCTGCCGATCTGGGTCGATACGTTTCGAAGGTAATGATTAATACGATCCTCTCGTAATCGAGAGGCGGTCAGCGATGTGGAGGAACGGGCGAGCGAGCGAGCGAGCGAGGGGCTGGGGATCCATTCGGTCGGAGATTCGCTCGGACGAGAGGGCGATCGGTAGGCAGGTAATATAGGATGTGTGTAACCAAGAGAGGGTTGCGACGGATCGTGCCAGTCGGAGGACGTGCATATCGCATTCGACGGGATTACGCAACGCCGCTGCTCTCTGATTGGGTCTAATGGGTAACGCTGCAAATGGCTCGACATCGTTATGGTTAGCTGCAACGAGTCCATTGTTATTTCGGGACACAATGCGCCGTCTACATTGCTCGGTAATTAACGCGAACGGTTCTGAGGAAAAAAAAATAAAGGTATCGCGAGTGGATTTACGAAGGAGGGGCCAGAGACCACGGGTGGATCCTTCGAGGAAGTCGATTGATTTAAAATGTGCTAATGATACCTGGCCAACCTCTGTTTCTTTAATAAACAAAGGTGTGGCGGACAAGATTTTCTCTTTGTTTAGTAATGGAGAAAATGAGGGACTCTGCAGGATGATATTTTAATGACACTAGAAGATGTTTCATTTTATAACAAGATATTTTGCAGTATACTTTCGATTTGAATTTCATAAATGGACCTCAAGCCTCGCAATCTAACAACGCTTGGAATATTTGTACGCCGACGAAATTGTTCACGGAAGCGTCACGTACGGTCGATAAAAATCGACAACACTTCCATGGCACACGCCGAGCGCAAATTAATCGTGCCACGCGTGTATGGGAACCGTGCGCATACACGGGCCACGGCAGGGTTCCATGAATCATAAATAAGCTAGCAATGTATCTCGATCTGCAATGCAATAATAGACCTCATGGATAGTGATGGCAAACACGCACGCGTACTCAAATGTTCATCAGCACGATTTAATTAAATAAAAAGAATACATGAATGTCGAACGGTTCTGAAATACAACTTAAGATAAGGAATACCGAAATGATTTTTTTTTAAATACAGTACAATTTTGGCTTATTGCGTAGAAACTGGAGCATTTAACTTTTCGTTGTTTGATATGCGATCATAATTGACGTAATAAGTACGCGTTCAATCTGTACATGCATGTAAATTTATATATTTAACTTTCACTTAATTAAACTATAATATAAAACTGATTGTTCTTGATTAAATAATATGCAGTGCTACGCCGTACGTATATTTAACGCTACTCGCGTTGTAAATAATAGAGGATTACAAGAACTCACCTGTGACCATTTCGCGAGGCCAGATGTAGCGGGGTGTGCGGAAAAATCACCGAGGAGGAAGAATTCCGTAGAGGGACGATCAGCTCCGGATACGTACTAACGAGCAATTGCACAGTTTCCAATCTATAAAAGATAATTAATTTCACAGAAGGAGCACAAAGCCAATTAGCGGCGTTATCGATTATTCAACGACGATCGATCACGAGCTCACGATTCTTCAGCAGCAGACGATCAATTACAGTCTCGCGCGAATTTCAACGATAAACACCGCTGCGAAATTATGAGCGAACTTTGAACGTAAACAAAAACAGAACAGAGCGGAACGGAACGAGGGAAAAGAAGAGGAGTACGTGCAATTTACCTGCCATATTGTGCGGCGAGATCCAGCGCGGATTCTCCCCGGCTGTTGCGGATGCTGGGGTCGCATCCGTATTGCAACAGCTGTGCCACCACTTCCGTGTGCCCATACTGTGCCGCGCAGTGCAACGCTGTCTCGTTGTCCTTCGTCTGCGATCATACAAAGCCGGTATTTCGAGTTAACGGATACACTTTGTCTCGAACCGTGGCGTTCGGCTCTTCTGACCCAAAACTCACGGTAATTCACAGCAAAAATTGCTGCGTAGTAAAAGAAAAATAAGTGAATAATAAATAAACTGCTGATTTTTAAATGAAATCAAATCAATCTTGTCAATTTCGAGAATTTTAATCCTTTAAACATTATAATATGTATTTTGTCATCGACGTTTTATATATTTTTTAAAATATTTATTGTAACAATATTCTATTAATAGAATTATTCTACATAATTATTTACGATTTAAAAGAGGAAAAGACAAGAACAAGAACAAACCTACTGACCGTAAGATTCACTTTGGGTATCGAAGGTCCTTGGGTAAGAATTAGCCGCACGATTTCAGCGTCGCCCGCCCAAGCTGCCAAATGAAGCGGCGAAGAGCCTTTAGCATCGACGACGTTAGTGGAAGCCTCAAACTGGAGCAATAACTTCACCACTTCCCTGAGGATAAAACCGTTTCTAGAATTATCGCCAGAATACTCGTCTATCGATTAATCGTCGGTTGAATAGAATATTCACAAGAATTTACATAAAATCTATGTACAAGGTAAACCTATAAGAACGTTTCTTATTAAATCTCTATGTACATTTAAGACTTCGACTGCTATGTCACCCAAATTCAAGTGACGCATAAAGTTTTCAATGGGCTGTATCACCCGGATTAGGGTGATGAATATATTGACTGTGGAATTTCTAAAGATATTTAACAGGATATAGGCTAATAAAATATGAAAATATATTATTATAAACTATTTAATTAAAAAGAGCATTTTGTATGACAGTCAAAGAATTAAAAGTCGTACAATATATTAATTGAATTCTAAAATATATTTTTCCAAGCTCTGTTACTTAAGAATTCGATTATAACATACTTATGCCCGTTCAAAGCTGCATGATGGAGAGCGGAATATCCACTGGCATCTTGCACGTTAGCCCCTGGACCCCGCCGTAGGCTGCAAATAAAACATAAAAATACATACATTTAGAGTTGTTCAATTACTTCATTCAAGGAATGTAAATGATGCTTTAAAGAAATATTTAATCAATAACCTTGACGAGGCCGTTGAATAATTTGATAGCTTATCAGCTGCAGGATGTGGAAAAATGTGTAAGCGATAACTACTCATTGTGAAGCGTCATTCATTCAGATTGCATTCATTCAAGGATAGATAACAATTTACACAATTAAAGTGCGCAGTATTTGTATCACAATGAAATGTATGCCACTATGAAGCTTCTTATCTTTCAAATGTACTTCAACAGCGATACCCTTCCACACGTGTATCAGCTAGTAAAATAATAATATGTACTAAATTCAGGTCATAAGAACCTACAACGCTTAAGCTCAACGATTCGACCTCGATATTTTTATCTCAAAATCCTTAGAACAGACTTCAGGATGCTGCACAAGGCTGCAGGAGATTTTTATCTTATACATAGACAAGAAGAATGCCTCCAGAACTTTCAAAACAGTTACCGCACATTTTCAATACAAAATTGTTCCTAGATCAGCTCTGCAGTAATTTGTCGCAAGGTTTCGAAGCAGTGGCGATTGTCAGGTCGACGAGGAACAACGGGGCTAACGATCATCGGCCGAGGCCCATTTCCGCAATTAGGAATTCATGTTTACCGCTGGTAACTAATACCCAGCGGCAATACAGGCTCGCAGAGGCAAAGAATCGCGGTCTCCACGCAACGAGTCACCATATCGTACTGCCAGACAGCGTTACCTCTGGCACAATGGGCCTCGCGGACAGGAACAGGTTCGCTAATGAAGCTTCCTCCATCCAACACATGTTCCCATTACGCGCCTTTGTTGCGTTCGCGCTGGGATAAACGCTCCTAGCGTCCTGACCCACGAGCACATTGTATAACACGTTTTTCGTTGCCTCCTCTGCATAACCATTCATAAGCTCTAGGACAATTCCAAATGTACATCAAAACCTCTCGTAAACATTCAAAAATAATTCAATTGGAAGATTCGTATAAGAAATCATTTTGTATAAGCATATAGCCAATCACCAAATAAATCATACAATAAATCATACAAAAATTATATAATAAATTGCACAATAAATCATGTAATAGATCACACAAAAAACACAATGAACATTCGATTTTATTAATTAAATTATCACATACGTACTCTATTTTTTCCCTTGAATATGTGTTCATAATATCTCGTTTGGCGAATAAGTTTTCTAATCTGTCCTAAAGCATATGAGATCGTTTGGAGATGGGACGATGATATATGTATAGTCTAGCAATTTCTCGTTATCCCGTGTTCTCTTCTTAAGTGGATTCGATTAGCGTCGCTCGAAGCTCAGTAGCCGGCTGGCCACTCAGCCACACTCGAAGCGTCGAGTGGAGCGTGCGATCAAAGCCGGGATTCGATGATCGGGCCCTACGACGCCGCGAAACGGTGCCGAGAGTCAAGAAAGTGGGCTCTGCTGACCCGTTTGATCTCCGACTTCTTTCAGTGTACGTGAAGTTTGTCAAGTCATATAAATAACCACTCGGGGTATGAATTGGAAACTTGGAATTATTTTCTGCAGTATATTTATCAGAACAATATCATTAGAAATGTTTTTTAATATAATTTTCTGATTTATATCATAATATGAATGTACGATAATTAATTTATATGCGTTGAAATAATAATTAAAAATGATCTGAATGCAGAAAATACAAAAGTAAATTAATAAACAGGTCTTTGCAATTTCTTTTATATATTAAAGACTCGGGACTCAAGAATCGATTTGGTTTTTATTTGAAATAAAGTTATAGTATGTGTACTAAATATACATATAATACAGAACTGATTTATATTGCGAACGTACAATAAAATATGGCATATCTGTTTGATAAATAAAATAAAATACATATGCAGTTAAATAATATATAATAATAATAAGAAAAATATAAATTATTTGTATGTACTATAGTATGGATGCAGTGTTCCGTTGGGTATACAACTCAGGACGCAATATTTAACTTGCTAGATTAATACACATCATAACCGTGAGACGTGGGTAGTATTTGCTGAGTCCTTGGACGATACCGATATGAGGATAGGCTCATAAAAATATGTATATTTACTCACGTTCCTCGAGCTGTCGCATTCGTAACTCTCGTATCGATATTAGAAAAGCTACTCGCCTTTACAATTCAAACAAAAATCAAATTTAAAATGCTTTAACACTTACATTTGCACAATCTATAATTGAATATAGTTGCTGTGTTTCGCTCTTAAGTTTGTACAAGCAACTGTTTGTTATTTTTACGTAAAATAAAACTCTTGATATCAATTTAAGAAATGATATTTCAGCCTTTGAAAATAATGACTTGTACATAATGCATATTTTTGCATATCGGATTTTTATTACATAATTGCATAAAATTATCTTCTTTCTTATATATTTGCTATTTTTTATATGTATATAAAAGTTCATCAAGAAAGCGAAGAATGTGTAAACACATTTGTTTATACGTTTTCATACCTGTGATCGTTGATAGAAATGCAGTTGTAATTTTGCAAATTGATCAATGTAAATTAACCCGATTAAATGTCCAATTAACTCGACCAATTTGCAGAGACGCGATTGGTGAAAGTGTCGTAACGGTAAACAATGATCAAATGATGGCTATGCATGTAGATGAAAACCGGCAACTGTTCTTAGCGAATGATGTTTGCGGATATCGAGCGTTCGTTGAAAATTGTTCTTCGCAAACAAACGTTCGGACAGCCGGGTTGTGTATGTCAAACCGACACAATGTCAACACGTTTGTTTGCATTACGTTAAAAGTTGCGCAAATAAATATGCAAAAATATTCGATGATGATTTCATTCGCGAGTATTAGTATCAATTAAATACAATTAAATTTATGTTTAATGTTTAGGAATATTTAATATGATACATCTATCGAGCAAAACGAGATGATGGAATGGGAAGAAAAAAATTTAGCAATAGAAATGTAAGCTTCATATTTATTGAATGTATTAACGCTCCGACTTTTAATTGTGAATATCGACCGGCAAATCCAACTTATTCTAATCATACTTCGATTTGCAAGTTAAGTGTCAGATTTTGCTACAATGATGTGTAAATAATCACATTAAAGTCATTTAAAACAATCTTTATTCATCTCAAGAGTAATATAATTTTGATTACAATATTTATACTAATTATAATTGAGTAGCTTGAGAGGTGCTTGAGGGGGGCACACTTGGAGCGTTAAGGGTTAAATGATTACGGGAAATATCCTTGAAATACGGAAGTGAAAACCGAAGATAACGGTATGATTTCCGAAAATAGGAAAATATGTGGATACCAGAAACCAGTGCCAACATTTGGTATATGAAAAGAAGACGAGGAATCAAAGATTCGATTGTTATCACCGCTAGATTCGGTTTCGAGTAATTTCCTAACGATTCCCGTGAACGTGGACGCTGGTAAAAAAGCAGGAAAACCCGTCGACTGGGATTTACCTTGTTAACAAGGACATGGTCTGAATCGACGCGACGGTTGGCGTCGCCATTGGTGTACCGGCATCAAAGCATCGCATTCAGTTTACCCAAAACAATTACGAGAGCCGAATGCCTTTTCTCCGCGGGCCAGATCAAAGCCCGACTTCTGGCCGTCATTAAGCAAGCGAGACGTCATTAAGCTTTAGGATACCGGCACTTGAAATCATCGGCACGCGTCACACGGCGCTTACCGTTCAACGGGATCGTTCAAGGCACACTCTCCCGGCGTAACGGGGTAGCAACCGGCGAGTCCCTAATCTATTGTAACTAAAGATCAAAAAACCAGAGAAACTGTCGATTTCGCGAACGCAAACTCCCCTCGACGACAGTGTGTTCCTTCAGAGTCGAGTGACGGGGCCGAGGCGGCAAGAAAAAGAAACGAACACTCGAGGGCGCTCCTCGGAGTGCGTTCGCAACGCGCTCGGGACTTCGAGGAGCTTTTGGCCGAACCAGAAGAATAGGAAAGAGCTAACACGCAAAGCAGGACGGCACGTGTTGAATTTCCCTGCCCTTCTACGATCTTTTCTCGTTTCGTTTCGCTACCGCCGCGACGACTGTGTCCTTCCTTACTACACTACGCCTTTCTCGCTCTCTTTTGCGGACGGTAGTCGTGCGTATTTGTTTTCCGCGCTCTAACAACGGGCCGGGGGTGGCAGTCGGCCCTCTTCAAGCCGAGTACACAGGGAACAAGATTGTAACCCCGACGAATGCGTACATACGTTGGAAATTCAGTCTGAGTGCCAGCAATGTATGCACAACCGTATAAATATATGTTATATACTGAACTGGGGGTGAAAACTGCAAGATGGATACAATTTACTATTCGATGAACATAATCTAATCTTGTTCTTTTTTTAAAGTGATGACAATCTGAACTATATATTATTTTAAACGAATATATTGCAAACAGAAGATTCTTAATCATGCTACTAGATATGAATAATATACTTCCAAACCTTTTACCTTACATGCTTTTACTAAACGAACTTCGTATGCATTGAATTAATTTACACTCTCCTATGAAGCTAAAAATAAATCTTATAACGTGACACTCGATTCAATCACGAAACTTCGAATCGCTTAACCACTTAAGCTTCGTTATCGCGGCTGCGGATCCCATTGCTCCTCATTGCAAACGCGAACACGCGATCGGTACCCGTCAGTTTTCCACACGTGGCCCATTTGTTCCTCGAACGGGACAAAAACCGTTCGTTACAATTATCCCGAGTAAACTGGCCATTTTTCTCGTCGATCGTTTCGGAGTCTTGATTAAAACCAGCAAGAAATCGCTGTTATAGATGCCCAGACAGACGGGGGTGCCTCCGGGTGCTTTCATTCCGCGGGCGCGCAACTATCTGTATCTTTCATGTCGTCCCCCGTCGTCCAATTCGTAATGTTCGTAGACGTCGAGGGCACTGGGCGATG